TCGCGGCAAGGGCGCCTACGAGCAATGGGGGTCGCGCGCACGAGCGGGGGACATATAATTAATGCCGCCATTCAAACAATGGCAAACACAGATATTATTGTTGGATAATCTTACCACTTGTATACGCATTATTGTTGTTGGATACCCAATATTATTGTTGGATACCCATGATTATTGTTGGATACTCAGTATTACTATATTGTTGTTGGATACCCATTATTACTGGACGCCCCCGCGCGCGCGCTGCGGCGCGCGCGCGGAGAACTCTGCCTTGCCCACAACTGATTAAAAGTCGCCAGGTTGGCCTGGGAACTGACATGAACTGGCGATGCTCAATGTCTTTGGGATATCGTCGTGGGAGGCCTCTCGCCCAGGGCGCGTTGGAGGCAATTGTGAAAGAATGTCAATCGAGAGCCGTCGGCGCCCACTCGCGGGGCACGTTGAAGCATAAACAAAGCATTCGAATGATTAAATCAATCGTTGGTTGCTATGATATGTGCGTCAATGTGTAAGAATGCATATACATGAATATGTATGCGCGTGTATACATGCAAGTGTGCATGTGGTTGCGCGTATATACAATACACACAGGTATATATATATATATATATATATATATATGATCATATGACCACCGCTGCACTAATTAACCCAGGGGAAGAGGAATAATATGCCTGCATGGGGGGCGATTCTTGGGAGTCAGGTCTGAAGCCTCTGGGAAACCCAAGCCTCTTGTTGTTTTTCCTCCTGCAGCGCCCCCCCCCCCAGGTATTGGGTTTGTTGGGGACCTTCGGGGGGTCCTTATTATGGCGGGCCTCTCGGGGATTTCTGATGACCATTTTCTTGTTCCCCCCTTGTGAGCCCCTCTTCTCGGATATATCTGCTTGGGATCCTCTTAAAGTCTTGGGCCGTCTTAGGCGCATCGCGGGCCGCGTGGAAGCACGCTCGGGCGGCCTTGGGCCTTGGGGCAGTTTTTGGGAGCCTTACCCTCCTCATCATTTGCCTCCTTCATTGTCCGCCCATCCACCTCCGCATCCTTTCCTCGCCCACCCCATCCATCCCCCGCAGCCGTTTTGGCTTCGACCGCGCGCCTGCCGCGCGCGTGGCTGCATCGGCCTCCTCTACCTCCTTCTCATACTTTCCATCGGCCTTGGCTGCATCGGCCCAGGCTGCTGCTCACCCTCAGCCTCTCCAGGCAAGCATGGCGGCTCCATCCTCTCCGGGCATGGTGGCGGCTCCATCCTCTCCAGCGGGCATGGCGGCCCCGCGTTCGCCAGCCCTCAGCCCGCCCGAGATCTTGGACAAGATCTTCTCCAAGTTCAGAGACTACATGGTGGAGAAGGGGAGAGACGCCGGGGCGTGCAAGCGGTACCCCCTACTGGTCAGGCGGATGGTGGATGGCCTCATCGCCGAGGGCAAAACTTGGAAGCAGGCGATGAGTCAGGCGGTCACCAACGAGTTCAAGATGCAGGTCAAAGCCCGGATCTCTCAGAGCGACCACGTATCCGTGCCCGCTCTCAGCCAGTTCGAGCTCTTCGTCCACAAGGAGCGGCAGAAGTATGAGGATCGCCGCCTGTTGGTGCGCGGCAGGTCTCCTGCCTCGCCGCAGCAGCGGCAGCCGCCGCTGCAGCAGCAGCAGCAGCTGCAGCCGCAGCAGCCGGCCGCGGCAGCCGGCAGCAGCAGCCAGCCGCCGCAGCAGCAGCAGACAATGTGGTGGAGGGCCAGCTGGCAGGACACCCACGCCCCGCCAGACCATCGGGGCCCACCCCCTCGCGTCTCTGCGCTCCGTCGGAAGCGGCCTCGCTTGGAGGGCCCTGCTCTTCGCGTGATCGTCCCGGACGTCTTGCAGGTGAAGACCGTGATAACCGTCAATTTTCGGCTTAAGCTCAGTCCCGAGGAAGCGAAGACCACGTGGAGCAGCGCGTTCGAATGCAGGCAGCATCTATGCGAAGGTTGCGGCAAGCAATGCCGCACTGGCAAAGAGGGCTACCTGTCGCCTAAGATCCCTGAGGGCATTGACTACACCACCCCCCAGTCCACGTGGGAGACGTTCATGTGCATCAACTGCTGGGATACTTTCCGCGTGAATCCGCGGGCGTTTGCATCCAGCAGCTCCTCCTCTGCATGATCGGCGCCGAGCCGGATCTGATGGCCACTATGGGGCTGCATCGGCCCGTGTAAGTATGGCCGCTGTACTTTCCTCCATCTCTCTCTCTCTCGTAATCTATATATTTCCATATGTATTTATATATGTATATATGATTATTCGTGTTATTCACTCCATCCACCCTCTGCTCTTCTTCTCGCCCCTCCCAGCCTGCCTCCGAATGCAATGCGGCTGCGCGCCGACGACGGGCACATACAATGGGCATAGTAGTTGGCGCAGGCTGAACGTTGCAACATTTCAACTTCAGGGGTTTTAGATGGCCCTTGGCCGCTTGCATAGCAGCTGCTTGCTTCGTCATGCTTCCTCCCCCCTCCTCCAGGCAGCAGTCCCAGGCTTTCTGGCCTCTGGAGGCCCTCCTCGTTCGTCGTCGCCACGGCCGGGCGCGGCTCGAGGAACTGGTGCGTCTGGGCCCTGGCGAGGGGCCCTGGGGCCCATCTCGAGCGGATTCGGACCCATTAAATTATGGACTCAGCAGAACAATGCCGAGGTAGCGGGTAGCAAGAAGAAGAGCGAGGTGCAAGGAGAAACGACGATGAGGATGAGGGGGGGGGGGGGAGGAGGAGGGAGGAGGAGGAGGAGGAGGAGGAGGAGGAGGGGGAGGATAACGACGAGGAGCAAACGCGAGGGGAAGGAGGATGAGAAGGAGGATGAGAAGAAGATGGAGGATGAGAGGAGCGATGAATGATGGGGAGGAGCAGCGAGGTGCGAGGGGCCAGGAGAAGCGAGAAGCGATGAGGAGCAGGGGGCGGGGCACTGAGCAGCGGGGACGAAGGATGGGGACGCGACGACGAACGATGGGATGAATGGCGCAGAAGCAGAAGAGGAAGGGAGTGAAAAGGATTGCGATGAAGAGAGGCGCGCCTCCTCCTCCACCTCGTTGCCCACTTCAGCTGTTGACTTGGCCAGGGGCTGATACGGCCGTGAAGCCAAGCAATCGGGGCTGATCCGGCCTCGCGGGACCTGACTGGCTGCCTCGGCCAGCAATGCACTCGATCGCGTCGTCATCGACGTTGCTGCTAGCTTGCTCGCTCGCGCCCCCCTCGGGATGCACTTGCGGCAAGGACTCGCTGCCCGACGACAGGGGGAAAACATCAGAGCGGTAGCAGTTTTGCGACTGTAGCAGCCGACGACGACGATGGCGGCGGCGGCGGCAGCGAAGAGCAGCAACAAGAGATTGATCGGGCAGGATCGCTGGGCGGAGGAGGGAGGAGGGGCCAGGATGGCGGTGGGGGAAGGGATGAGACACAGAAGAGGAATGCAATGAAGGATTTACACATGTTTTTGTTTTTTCTACCCAGCCGAAGCAGCTGAGCACTTACTTGCCCAGCCGAGGCAGCTGAGCTATCACTGAAACCCCAAGCAAGAGCGCGCAGTGTCCACGGACGCAAGACTCTGGACCAATCCCCTGAATGCAAATGAATTCTTAAAGTCCTTATATGCGTCTTGGCTCAACTCACCAGGCAACACGAGCGCCAAAAGAGCGCTCTTCTTGGCGCCTGTGAACGCGGCCTTCAAGGCGGCCCAGCTACTATCCCCATCAAGTGTCCACTTGCAGTTGGGGACCCTGGAGAAAAGTAGCTTCAGGGATTCACCGTATGTGGTATTGCAGCGCGGCGACATGTATAATGTCTTCTTTAGGTGGCACACTTGCGAATACTTCAAAGCGGGGCCGCGCCCCGAAATCAGGAATCCAGGCGACACTTGGAAACCGCCTCTCATTGCGGAAGCAAGCGTGATAAATGGTTCAGTTGTTCCTGGCGTGGGGACAACGAACACATCAGCCTCGAAAGATCGGCCGATCCTCAGGGTGGCCTCCCTGAGCGCACGCTCCAGACCTGCCCTCCCCCGGCAACTGACATCCACAAAGGCAATTTTACCCCTGATCGCTGACATCATCTCTGCGCGACTTGCACCGCGCATGAAGTCCACGTCGCGCGCTTGCCTGCGCTGGCGCGCTCTCAGGTCTGCGAGCTGTTTCGCTGCCTTCTGAGCTGCCTCAGCGCAAAGAGCCGGGCTCGATTCATGTTGGAGGAGGCTCTTCTCGGCAAGTGCTACCAAGGACTTGTCCCGCAACTTGGCGTTGAGAAATGCTAGCTCCTTCTCGTGGGTCTCCCCCCATGCAGCGCCTGCTCGGAAGCCGACTAGATCGTTCTGGATTGCCAGCGCCCTCTCCTCGCTCGGCACGGACGCGGCTGCGCTCTGGGCGGCCTTCCGCCGTTTCGCGATGAAGCCTGCCTCCGTGAAATCACTGGGCGCCGCCACGCGCTTCACGCCCTTGTCGATCCGAGGATGCAGTGGCGACGCCCTGGGCGGGCCGAGCGACGTGCGCCACACTCGCTGCGCCATCCTGATGCTCTCTAACTGGTCGGATTCAGTGAAATCCATAGCCACTTTGATGAAGCCTTCCTCGTGATCCGCCGTGGAAGAGCCCATGCGGTCAGTAAATTTCAGCGCAGTCTGACTGAACTGTTGTTCCACTCCAGATGAGCTCAAACCATAAGCGATGAACGCGACAAGAGCTTGGTTCAGCACGTCGGACGGGTGGCTGGCCGCGAGATGGCGAGCGCCTGCTCTGCTCACCGCGGCGCGCCACGCATCCTTGTTGCTGGTGCTGAACATCTGGCGCGCGCGAGGATAGAGGTCGCACCACTGAGCCCTAAGCCTCAACGGATCAAGATCCGCCCCCCCCGCCGGACGGGGCCCGCGGCGAGGAGCAGGGGGAACCGTCCGTTCTTGACCCAATGATTCCGATCCCAGATGGGCAAGCGCCAGGAACAGGGCCGCTCGCGCGGGGGGCGGCGGTGAGAGCGACAAAGTCTGATAATCAAGTGACTGTGCGATCCTTTGCAAATCCTGCTCGGGCTTGTTGGGGGGGCTCTTCAAATCGAACACGCGCCAGGCCTGGGGGGATACATAAATCTACTTCCCCTTCGCCGAGAAGCGCGGGGAAGGGTGGACGACGAACGAACGAACGGCGGGGCACCCTCCTGTTCCAATGATCAAATCGGTCAACAGCGACAATGAATTCGGGGATTGGGGGGGGCGAACTTCCACGAATCTTTGATCACACAGCTGTCCTGGGCCAGTTCGAAAGTGGGGAACTCGGCCTTCAGAGCCGCTCGCGAAAGAACGATGTAGGAGCGCATCCTGGCGATGCAATTGTCAATGATATCTGCCTGGACACCGGCCTCGTCCCCGATATGATAACTGTCCCCATCAAGCTGCCAAACAATCGGAATCTTCAACAATTTCAGCATCATGCTCGCGTAGCCAAACGTTGACAAACATCTGCGTGAGCTGCCAAATAAAGCAGTGATAGACAAGCTGAACGCCAACACCTCGCGATTGAGAACGGCTGGATCGGCCGCCTCGTCATCTAAGATCCGAGTGAGTTGCATTGCTTGGTCACTTGCGTCGGCCATCATTGCCAACATCAAGCATCGTTCTGTGGTGACTGACTTGAGCCACGTCTTTGCCATCTTTGCCATATCGTCGTGCTGTCGACGAGAAATGTGCAGCGCCGTCCGGATGCACGCGTGCAGGAAGATGCAGGTGCGACCGAGAGGTTTTTGAAATGATTCAAATCGGTGGGCTGCTGCCCGTAGGTTCGTGATGTTCGAATTGATGGCCTTGCTACGGCATGTCCTGGTATAGTTCACGAAGATTCGTCGAATGTGCACGCTATTGTGAATCATGCGTGCTATGGAGCCTCGGCCACGAGCGAAGATCATAGTTGTCTCCTTGATGAACGGGTCAGCGGCCCACGGCCTGCTCACAACCCTCCTGGCTGAATGCGCTTTGTCTCTGATGACGAAACGGAGCCCCGGGGTCAAGGCTTGGGCAGCGGCACTCAAGGCAGCCGATCGCATCATCTCAGCGCTGAGAAGCTCATCGCTCGCAGAATCAACCGTGAGACACAACACCCGCGCTTTCAGATGTTCCAAAATCTCCTGCTTGAGAGCGGGGGTGCACTTCGCTCCCTGCGGGGGTCCGTGCAGCTCAGTGCACGCTCTGACCATAATTTGCTCTGTAGCGTTGGTGATTGCCGCGGCTCCAGTCCCAAAGCCACGAGCTTGCCCCAATGTCCCTGAGAACTCAGACAGGTCGTGCCCGACGCATCTGAATCGGACGAGTAGCCGCCCCTTCCGTTCGTCACGGAAAAGGGAAATTGCTGCACTTGATTTGATGATGTTCATGTCGCGTTGCTTCAGGGCCTGCTGCAAGCACCACAATATTCTACGGTGCTTTCTGGTCTCGAGGCCGCACCCATTGCCGACCAGCTTCACGACGTCCAGGAAGTCAGACTCGCTGGGGCATTGCAGAAACTCAGCCGATGCAGCCGAACTCTGCTGAGCCTGCATCTGCGAATGAGACGGAGCCAAACGCTGCTGAGCCTGCATCTGCGCATAAGCCGCAGCAGCAGCCCTGTGAGTTGGGTTCCGATCGTGCTTGGCGAAGTTGGCAGCCTGGAGCGCAGGCACAGACATAGCCTGAAAATTGCTGAACGGGCTGTTGATGCCTGCCCAATGGCAGCACGCGCAACCAACTCCTTTACCGTCCTTCCACTTGCTACTCAACCATGAACCAAGGTGAGGGCGGCCAGGATCCACCAGGAACCGCTTGGACCACTTAGGGTAGAGTCTCTTCCAAAGAGTCGCCGCGGCGAATCTGCTGTCGGATGACTTGCTGCTTTGCTTCGCCACCATAGCTACATCGGGGTGGCTGGCGGTAGCAATAATCGTTGTCGGCCGTGCAGACACATGAGACTTGAGCAAAAATGGTTACGAGAAATGGGATAAGGCGCGTGACAGTAAGAAATGGCATGGCCAGCAAGCTGGCCCATCAACAAACATGTACCATGGGTGGCGAGCCTACCCATCAACAAACCGCATCAGAGACGCCAAAACACAACAGGCCCCACTAGGGCCTTATTTATGTTAGCGGTCATTTTCCTTGGGGCCAGGTGCTGGAACTCCTTGACCTAAGAGCGACAGAAGGAAATGCAGCCGATGGGCCGGAACAGCCTGGGCCGATATCGCAAAACCACATGCGGTACAATCAAGTTGCACTCACCACTCATAGTGCAAGGGAAATGGCACCTTCGTCTTCGTCAGCCCGGCGCTGTGGAGCCCCTCCGACAAAATGGCGCCCATGGTATGCACGCTGACTGCGTTGCCGACCATGCCGCCGATCTGGTGGTCCGACAGGTTGAGCTCAGCCTGTGGAATGTCCTTCTTGGCGAAACCCTGAAGCCGCATCATCTCATGCAGCGTCACCCGCCGCCCGCGGCTGGAGACCCACGGACCTCCGTTCTGGCCACGGGTTTTGGTGAGGGTCCTGGCGATGTTGATCCCGTGCGTGGCGAACCTCTCGGAGCAGTCGATGTCGACCATCACTGGGGTCACGCGCGGGTCCACCCCCGTCTTCTTCTTGCAGACTTTCTTGTAGGCGGCCTTGCACAGGTCCCGGCTGCGCTTGCTGCTGGGGAGCCGACCTGCCACGTCGGTCGCACGCTTGGGCTCCAGGATGGAAGTCACTGGAGGCGTCGCCTGCTTCTGCGGCCACGTGAACGGATGCATCTCGCTGTCCTGCCGCACGCCGACAACATAGACGCGCTCCCTCGACTGGGGAACTCCAAAGTCCTTGCTGTTCAGCTTCTTCACGTGAACGACGTAGCCAAGCTTCTTCTGCGCTTCCTCGATGCCCTTGAGGATGCGGGCGAACTTTTTGGTCATGAGGGTCGGGACGTTCTCGAAGATGGTCAGGCGGGGCCGTTTGTTCTTTATGAACTGCATGCTCTTCTTGATCAGGTCCCCCGTGCGGCGCTCGCCGCTGACGCCCTCCTGTTTGCCGCCAGCAGAGAAGTCTTGGCAAGGAGGGGTCCACACGTACACGTCGGCGTAAGTCTCCTCCGCGGCCGTACGCTCCAGTATGTTCGAGAACGCGTGCGCCGGCTGGTGGTTCTTCTTGATGACTGACATGCACGCCGAATCAGACTCGCTCACGAACTCGAGGGAATGACTGATGCCCATGCGCTTCATGGCCACGGACGCCGTCTCGACGCCCGAGAAATCAGATCCCAACTTCAGGACCTTCGGGCGCCGCGGCTGCCTCGGCTGCCCGCCAGCAGTATTCTTCACCCCAGCATTGACTGTCGTCTTCCCCATGTCGGCGACGCGGGGAATCGCGCGGGGGGAACAGGCGGGCAGGAAGAGAAGACACGATTGTGTATGTAGTATTATTGCTTCTGGCCGAAACAGCTGCAGATGAATCAAACCTTAGTTCGTCGCCCTCTGCTGGGGGGGTCACTTTAAAGTGCTCCGGAACAACGTTTCCAGAGCACATTGGAATGACATGTCTGTAGTAAGTAAGAACGCATCTGCTTCCTCTTCGGCGTCGCAAGCGCCGTCGGGACCGCCAGTCAGACCACCAGAGCCCCTTGTAAAACGAAAGCCCCTGAGGAACGAGCCACGCGGCTCGCTGTGCAATTTGTCAACTCCACTGAGGGGGAACCAACGCGGTAGATTTCGGAACGCCGTAACTTATGATCCCCCCGCCGTCGCCCCCCAACAACGCGGCCCCCGCGCGAACTGCAGGCATGACACGGCAGATGGCGGAACGCCAATCCATCCTATATGTCTTGGATGAGCCCTCTGATGCGGCCCCGCTGGGGGGCCCGATAACCACATCAGAAGTCCAGAACACGCGGCCTCGTTGCTGGGGGCCTTGCGAATGCATTCGGCCCCTCCTCCCCCCAGCCCACCTGCCAAGCACCCAGTGATGATGAAGGCCCCCCTCCCACTACCAACGCCGCGCCCGAACGCATCCGCTGGCACCCCGCCACTGTCGCCGCCGCCTGCACCACCGCCGCCGCAGCTCACTGCCGACCTCGAGCTGCGGTAGGAAAGGTCTGTCGCGCAATTCGCCGACGGCAGCGAGCTGCGGTAGCCACCGCCACAGCTCGCTGCCGACCTCGAGCTGCGGTGGGAGAGGTCTGTCGGGCAATTCGCCGACGGCAGCGAGCTGCGGTAGCGGGGGTGGTCCGTCTGCACCACCGCCACCGCAGCTCACTGCCGACCTCGAGCTGCGGTAGGAGAGGTCTGTCGGGCAAGTCGCCGAGGGCACCGCAGCTCACTGCCGACCTCGAGCTGCGGTAGGAGAGGTCCGTCGGGCAATTCGCCGACGGCAGCGAGCTGCGGTAGGGGCCGGCGGCCCCTACTACCGCTGCTCACTGCCGACCTCGAGCTGCGGTAGGATAACTCTGACTGAGACGCCCCCTGTCGCGCGAGTCGCCGATGACGATGGGGGGTGGGGGGGGGGGGAGGAGGGGGTGCGAATGAATGGCGGGCCCGTCGTCGCTCGTGGCCGACGCGCGCGTTCGTTGCCGCGGGAGCTGCGCAAGGAGCTTACTAACAGTCGTCTCTAATCGCAGCTCCCTGTCGCCAGGGAGCTGCGGTAACCAATGTTCGGGAGCATGTTGCGAGACGTCTGTTCGGGGGCCCCCGAACAGACGTCTCGCAACATGCTCCCGAACATTGGTTACCGCAGCTCCCTGGCGACAGGGAGCTGCGATCAGAGACGACTGTTAGTAAGCTCCTTGCGCAGCTCCCGCGGCAACGAACGCGAGCGTCGGCCGCGAGCGACGACGGGCCCGCCATTCATTCGCACCCCCTCCTCCCCCCCCCCCCCCACCCCCCATCATCATCGGCGACTCGCGCGACAGGGGGCTTCTCAGAGTTCTCCTACCGCAGCTCGAGGTCGGCAGTGAGCTGCGGTAGGGGCCGCCGGCCCCTACCGCAGCTCGCTGCCGTCGGCGACTCGCGCGACGACAGACCTCTCCTACCGCAGCTCGAGGTCGGCAGTGAGCTGCGGTGCCCTCGGCGACTTGCCCGACAGACCTCTCCTACCGCAGCTCGAGGTCGGCAGTGAGCTCTGGTAGGGGCCGCGGGCCCCTACCGCAGCTCGCTGCCGTCGGCGAATTGCCCGACAGACCTCTCCTACCGCAGCTCGAGGTCGGCAGTGAGCTGCGGCAGGGGCCGCCAGCCCCTGCCGCAGCTCGCTGCCGTCGGCGAATTGCCCGACAGACCTCTCCTACCGCAGCTCGAGGTCGGCAGCGAGCTGCGGCGGCGGTGGCGCAGGCGGCGGAGCCCAAAGGCCTTGACCAATACTCGAAACAGAACCTCTACGCATAGTGAGCGCCATCTGTTGCAGTAAAGTGTCTGGGCGTGTTTGCGAGCATCATCTGTTGCAGTAAAGTGTTCGGGCGTTTTCGAAGCTATAAGGAGGGGGGGGGGAGGAGGGGATAGTGAGGAGGAGGAGGAGGAGGAAGAGGATGATGAGGAGGAGGTTGTCACGGCTATCCTGTGTGCTTTAAGTGCCTCTTTCAAATCCAGCGCCGAGTCCAACTCCAATCACGTCCAAAGCCGCGCGAACATTCCGATTGGAAAAGCACAATACATGGAAGCTCGAGGGCATGAGTGAGCCAAGGCGGGCGGCGGAAGCCATGCATGTTTTTTTGCAATGCCATCCGTCATGGTGGGATGCGCTGGCGAGGACAGAAGGGGCCTGGGGCTAGCCGAAACAGCCTGCCCGGCGCGCCCGCCGAATCAGCGATGCTAAAAAACGCGCGCAAATGCTGCCAGAAACCTATGTCAGCTTAGACGGTATTATTCTACAACAAACGCAACGCACGCAGCTACAAAAATGCCATCGTCCCAAAGCTTGGGTAAACCGATAAACTCACGCATCATCATCATAATCCTCATCATCATTGCGGGGGATGGGGTTCTGAACTTCAAACAGGGACATCTGATTGGGCCGATGACTACTACGGTAATGGCTGCTCTCAATCATCATGATCGCATGACTCGTCCTCGCAGGTTGACTGCACCTCAGCTCTAATCCTCCTGCAAAGGGTCCCAGAGCTCCTCGTCAGCGCCAGGCAGCCCTTCTGCCGCGGGATCGTCGTCGAACCCATCATCTCCTCCGGCAAAGCCGCCGCTCTGGCAACCACCGCCACCGCCGCCGCCGCCCTCCTGCTGGTCACCACCATCGCCGCCGCCGCCCTCCCCCGCGCCGGCGTCGGCCTCCGCTGCCGCGGCGGCGCCGGTGTTGCGGCGGCTGCGGCGCTTCGGCCCTGGCTGTACCTTCGGCGTCGGCGCCACCTCCTTGCCGACAGCTTTCGCGTACTCCTTGTTGAACAGCTTGGACCCAGGATCCGCCATCGCGCTCTTCACGAGCTCCGCCAGGTGGAGGTAGATTTTCTCCATGTGTTCTTTCGTGAAGGCCACCCCGACGTATGCGACCCTCTCCTCGAGACAAGCCCACGCGAATTTCGCGTTGAGCGGGGTCATGTCGAGGACGCATTTGACAAAGAACATGTGCAGCAGCTCTTTGTAGAAGAGAAGCGGCATGCCGTGGTAGGAAATGGGGACAACGGTAGAGTCGGTTTTCCGCTCGGCCTCGCCTTGAATGCCCTCTGTTTTGCCCCCCACCGCAATCAGATTGCGCTTCCCGTATATTGCCTTTTTGTCTTTCCACGTCACGTGCCATTCCTTGCTCAACTCTGGGAGCTCGATGCCGTTGATCAGATCCCCCGCGGTGCTGCCCTCGAAGTGCTTGCGGCGCCGCTCAGGGACCGAAATGCGCGAGTGCGCCAACATGTGCACCCACTCTACCTGCTGCAAGCTCCCCGTGCCTCCGTGAACCCTGTTGCGGCGCTTCTTGAGGCTCTCCTCCGTGTACGCGAGCTGGATGATCGAAGCTTTGAAGCCGGCCTTCTTCTCAGCGTCGCTGTTGTCGTCATCCTCCTTATCATCGTCATCGTCGGGCTCATCGCAGCCGCGCCCCTTGCTCGGCGGTGTATCCTTCTTCGTCTCGATGGTGTTCTCCTTCCACGGCCCGAGCAACTTGGTCGCGTTGCCCCTCCGCCCGCCGTCCAAAATCACTGCGACCTCCCCATTGCGGAGATGGGCTAGTTGCCCCTGAGGCGCCCTCGCGTTCAGCATCGTCCGCACGAGGCGGTGGTACGGGCCATCCCTGAGGGGCGCAATGCGCAGCTCAGGCCTGGTGAGCGGCTCGCCGAACTGCTTCACGTCGAAGTGGTACAGCACCAGCCCCGTGGGGTCACCCTTGATGGTGGCGAGCGCGGAGTCCCGGAGCATGGTCTCCAGCTCGGCCGCCGTTTTCTGGTCGGGCACGATCTGAACGTACGTGCGAATGAGCTTGTCGATGAATTTGTTCCAACTCGTTTTGTCCATCTCTGGCAGCTTGTCGAAGTTTTTCAACTCCGCGGGCCTGTCGCCCGCCACTGCGGTCATCTGCCCCGCAGGGTTGTCAGCCCCGGCAGCTGCAGGGGTGCCCGTGCCACTTCCAGCCGCGGCCGGCGTGTCAGTAGTACCATGCCCCCCATTGTTCTCCCTCCGCACCATCTCGATGACTTCGTTCATGCGCGTGGAGATCGATTCGTAGGCGAGAAAATCCGCCGCCTCGAGCTTCGACTGGACGGCGTTCCTGTAGCGAGAGTCGAACTCGGTTGTGTACACCAACTCCTCGATGAGCGTGACAGCCGAAACAGCCGACTGCTTGCCACCAACACTAATCAGAGCCTGCCACGTGGTATCGACTACCCCCCCTGGGTAGGAACTGACGTACGTCCGCACCGCGTCGAAGGTATTCATCTTCTCTTGCATCAATGTGACGTGTTCGGTTGGGATGCCAGTGCGCGGAAGCCACTTGAACAAGAGCTCGTTCTTCACGTCGTATTTCATGTTCAAGATTTCAACGTAGCTCTGCCTGTAGTCCCTGAGCTTGCTGACACCGAACTCGCCTAAGTTGATGAAGTCCTGGTGGTTCTGACCCCTCCCCAACGCTGATTCGCGCCGTCCCGCCGACGACGACGACGCGTCGTCGACGGGCTGGCGCGAGCAGCGATGGGTGTTCAGAACAACCCCCGGGGCGCCATGCGGTAATGATCCGTGAGGCCCATCATCGCCCAATCGATCTTGTTGGGGGTCGACGCGCGCTCGACCACAGCGTGCATCGCGTAGAGGCTATTCCACGGGGACTTGTTCATCAGGTTCTCGTCCGCCCAGACAAGGCACCGATTGGACGCCTCCAGGGACAGCAGCCGCTTGTGGACTGTGATTGCGTTATCCACGAAGGTTGGTTTCACTTTTCAGTAGACCGCGCATACTTCATCTTCTTCTCGTAGAGCTCGCTGACGTCCTTGGCGCCCAACGTTTTCTCCAGCTCTTTTTCCTTCGCCGCCTTGAACCCGACGATGTCGTACACCCATTGCCTCGCGGTGAGTTGGGCTGTCTCCCCATGCTCGATCCACTCCTGCCGAATGTTCTGGGCGCGCCAATACCGCATGTCACCTGGCAACACCACCTCGAACGTCACTGGCGCCGAAAGCACGACCTGCATCCACTTTGACAGGATGGAGTCCTCCGCCTGCTGCTTTACCGCGTCAGCGATGGCCATGAGCAAGGCCAGCTGCGGCTCGATTGGTGAGAGGCGCTGCAAACTGCCCAGGTGCTTAGCGACGTCCATGTCCGAGCTGTCCACCGCGAAGACGGTGTTCATGGGGAAGACATTTGGCGGGCTCTTAAGGTGGTAGTTCACGATCTCCCTGACCTGCCCCATGTTCACAGGGGTGCGGTAGCTGGAGCTCCAGAAGAAGTTCTGCCAGAAGAGGTTGCACCCACATGAGTAGGGGGATCCGCGGCTGAGGGCATCAGAACAATCCTCCTTCACGAACGGCGCCTGGCGACCGCCCTGGGCGATGGTCAGCGGCATTTTCTTCTCGAGGTCGGCGAAGAATGGCGACCCCTTGATGGCGTTCAAAGCATCGGTGATGATGTCCAGCGTCGGGCCCACGACTTGGTTGGTCTCCGGCGGCGCCTCCGGCTGCGCACCTCCTGCCGAACCAGCAGGGTCAGACTCCGGCTGCTTAGCCTTCGCCTTTGCCCTTTTCATGGGCGGGGGGGCCGAGGCAGCCCCCTTCTGCTCACGCTTGACCGCCTTAGCGGGCATGACTGGCGTAACTCCCACTGCCAGTCGACGAGTCCACACGTTATGTTCGTTCTGAAGGGCCGCAACAGCCCGCGTCGGTACACACTGAACCAAAACGGTTGCGGAGATGGAAATGGAATTGGAGGAAGCGGAGGAGGGGGAGGAGGAGGAGGCGAGCCGCAGGCGGGAGGGTAGCGGGGGGTCGACGATCGATCGACGGGCAGATCAGCAGCAGCGCTGACGACGACGACGACGAAAGAAGAAGGCGCAGGGCGGCGGCGAGCGAGGGTCGACGGCGGCGGCGACAGACGACGACGAACGCGACGACGGCAAGAAAGAGAGAGTTGGCCGAAACGGCCGTCAGGATCCGGCCGACGCAGCCGGCCTGGCCTTCGGCCGAAACAGCCAAAGTGGTAGAAATTGAGACGGGGCAGGGTTCCAAGTTCCAGAGCAGACCGACCATGGAAGGAGTGCGCGGACCAATCGACATGCCCAACCCACATGGGCCACTTGTTGTCCCGAAAGCGTTCCAGAGGCAGAATCTGACGTGGCCCAGATGTTCAGGCCCATCCCGAAGTAACTAAGAACTCAGAAAGCTCTCTTGGAGGCGCAGCTGACGCAAATCACATGCAGACAAAGAAGATGGGCGTGGCCAATAACCCATGGAGCTCTCGTGGAGGCGCAGCTGACGTAGTTGAACGGATGGGTGGGGGCATATGTCCCCGCCGCTGCAGGGGGCGCTGCTGGCTAGGAGGCCGCTGTTGCTGGCGGGTGGCCCCCCCTTCTCCTCTCCCCCCACTTCTCCACCCTCCAACCCTTCTCTCCTCCCCCTTCTCCACCCTCCAACCCTTCTCTCCTCGCTATCCCTCCTCGTCACGGCCCTCCCTCCTCCTGCTGCTGTTGCCTCTCCCTCCTCCTCCTCCTCCTCCTCCTCCTCCTCCTCTTCCTCCTCCTCCTCCTCCTCCTCCGCCTCCTCCTCCTCCTCCTCCTCATTCGCCATCCTCATTCATTCATCGCCCTCTGATGTCTGATGATGGCGATGATGATTTTTCCACGGGCGGGTCGAGCGCCGATCTCAGCAGTCGTCTCGTAACTTGCGCACTTATAGCGAAGAATAGCGTGCACCCCCCTGACTATACGGCGACCGCGCAGTCGTCACGTTGTTGACGCGCGTCCAGGTCGCAAAATTACAGGGGCGCTCGCTGGTCGAGCACACGACGCGGCAGTGCTTGTTTCAAGCACGGTGCTGCTCGCAAATAGTGTCTGGGTTCGACTCCTGCAACCTCTGGCAGCACACCCTGCGCGCAAACCTAACGCAGTATGCGCCAGGCTGATTGCTGTTGCACTGGGCGCACATGGTCATCGCAGGCGCCGTGCGGACTCCTGTAGGCCTCGCGCCAGCTCCGAAGGCCCGTGCTCGAGCTAACTTCTTCAGATTCCAGGCCCTCGAATGCTGCGTGGCCGATTGCCAGCCCTGCCACTCCTCCCCCCCGGCCGATGCAGCCCCAGGCTCAGGAGGAGGAGGAGACGCGGCTGCCGCTGCAGCAGCTCCTGACGACGACGCCGAAGCAGCCCCGGGCGACATCTGCAAGGCGATCAGGGTGTTCATTTGCGCCTGCAGCATCTCGACCTGATGCTGGAGCTCCTGCTGCGTCATCGTCGCTGCCGGCGCTGCTGCGCCCGCAGCCGACGACGACGGGCGCCCTGGCGTCGGCGGCGGCGTCGCCATGGCGTAGCGCCCAGGACGAGGAGGCACCTTCGGCTGCTGAGGCTGCAGCGGGATCGCCGTCGCCGCCGCCGCCTTCGCAGTCTGGGCCGATGCAGCCGAGGCGGCGGCCACCGACCCCCTGGCGGGCGGCGCGGCGGCGAGGTGGGTCGGCGGCGGCACCAACGGCGGCGACGCCGCCTTCTTGGCCACCAGCAGCTTCGGCGCTGCCTTCCTCGGCGGTGGAGTGGACGCCGCCGACCTCCTCGGCGGCGTCACGGGCCGCCCGCCCCCTCCGCCTCCTCGGGGGCGACCGCCAGCACCATCTGGGCGATTGTCGTCGTCGCCGTCGATGATGTCGCCGTCGTCGTCGAGCTCCTCCGTCGGCGGGCGACGGCGCACCCTGCTGGAGCGGCGCCGGCACTGCTCGATCAACTGCTCTGGCGTCTTGTCGGTCGGCGCGGGGCGATGAGGCGGCCCGAGCTGCGCCAGCTGGTCCCAGATGTCCATGTTCGGCAGGCCGAAGTAGTCCGCGACCTTCCATGGGCTAGCGGATTGTTATTATTACTGAGGGGGCTCCAAAAAAGAAGAGGGGAATCCCCGACAACGACGAAGAACGACAAACGAACGACAACGACAGACGACGACGACGACGACGACGACGACGATGAAGATCACCGAGCTACAAAACACATACCCACCCTGACGCCCCCTCCAATAACAATAATGCGCCAGCCACCTCCCAGAACGTGCTCATCCTGAGCAGCAAGTCGTCGTCGTCGGGGTCCCACTTAGACCCAGCGGCCCTGACGCCCGTGTACTGGATGACGGCGTTGATGGTGTTGGCCTGCTGCTGGCCAGCCTCGTGGATGACGCTCCACAGGCACTCGAGGTCGTTGTCGATCATGTGCGTCAAGACCACGCGGTCGTCAGCGCACTTAGCGCCTTTCCCATCAGGCCCGCTCTTCTGCTTGGTCAGGTGGACGTTCATCTGCCTTAGCCCCATCTCGAACAGACCTGTGCTCCTGATCAGCCGCACGACCCAAGCCTCCACCTGGCCCAACCTATGATGGCGAGAATGCCACGTGCCACGGTTAGTGCGACTGATGAAGTGGAAGTCACGCAGGCCGAACTCAGCCGCATAGAGAACCGCAAAAGGCCAGAACCCGTGCTCCACAGCCATATAGATGTCATCGCCTTTGGGGGCGCGCAGGCTCATGGCGCGCCCCGCGGAGGCGCCGCGGCGAATCTGGCGGCGGGCTGGGCGCCACCGCCAGGCCGCCGCGGCGCCGCCTCCGAGTGCGCCATGCGCTTGCACACCTGGCAGAACCTTCCAGACGACCACCCTGGCCGTCGTCGCCCTCCCCAGACGCGACGCCCCCCACGTCGACGCCCAGCACGGGCATGGCAGCGGCGGCGGCGGTCGGCGGCCGATGCTGGCCGCTGCTGTGTGGGGAGAGGACAGGAGGAGCGGAGCCCGCTCCCAGCACTCAGCCAAAATGGCTGTTTGTTACGGTGCAACGTGCTGCCCGCCCTCTTTCCCCCTTTTCTTCTTCCCCCTGGGGGGTTGCTGGCTCTCCCCCGCCGTTCGTGAGCTTAAAAGCTGTTTCGGCCGTGCCCCCCCATGACCGTCGTTTCGGGCTGCGTCCAGCTGGGGCGACGACGAGGAGGCCCCCCTCCGAAAGCCAGAACTCCCAAAATCTCGATCCGCCAGGGCCGAGGCTCGAGCGCCGCCGCGCTGGCTGAAGAAGGGCGCTGTTGATATATATATATATATATATATATATATATATATATATATATTCCCCGCGCAGCTGGAGGTCCCTGGAGGTCCCTGGAGGTCGCCGGATGTCCCTGGATGTCCCTGGAGGCCCCCGGCAGCAAAGGCCTCTGGAGGCCTGGAAACGTCAGAGAAATGTAGGAAGGCATCCTCGGACGTCAGAGCGGGGGAGGCGCAGAAGAAGCGGGCATCCTCGGACGTCAGAGCGGGCATCTTCGGACGACGGCGAGGAGAAAGCGGAGGAGGCGCAGACGGAAGTGGCGGAGGCACGAATGCCGATGAATGGAATCAGGACGATGGCGGAGGGAGGAAGGAGACATCATGGTGAAGTTGTTCGGGAGGGGGACAGTGAGGACAGTGCCGAGAGCGTGCAGGTGAATCACGAACACGCCTCGAAAAGGAAAGGGACGAGAGAGAGACCCTCATCCAACAAGGGGCACTCTCCGCGCCGTGCGCGGGGCCGGGGAGCAACGGTGCGAGGGTCACTAACGGCGCACCGCCGGGCAGTCCCCACTCGCACCGCGCCCCCGTTGCCGTCGACGTCTCGCCGCCGCCACCGCCGCCGCCGCCGCCGCCGGCCGAAACGACCAGCAGGGGAGCGCGGCCGAAACAGCCGCCGCCGCCGCCGTCGCCGCTCCATCGTCGTCGCGTCGTGTTCTTTCTCTCTGTCCCTGCCCCCCCCGAGGACGAGCACATACTGTCGAATTCTTGACGCTTCTGTTTGATCATCTAATAGCCTTCGGCCCACCTGAATGATGATGAATACTGACCCTGATGATGATGGCGATGATGATGATGATGCTGATGATGATGATGATGATGTGTGCCCTCGCGGGCGCGAACGATTCCCCGTCCGTCCGTCGGCCTCCTTAGCCACAGACATGTTCGATTCAGTTTTTGGAATCACATGTCGACTTTTCTATTGTGGACAATACAGAACTCCCCAACTTCCGTCGGCCTCTTTAAAGGGCCACAGAAATTTCAAATTCAGTTTTCGGAATCACATGTCGATTTTTCTATTGTGGACAATACAAAACTCCAAAACAAATCCAAATTCAGTTTTTGGAATCACATGTCGACTCTTCTATTGTGGACAATACAGAGGGTGACCCGCGCGGGGTCGGGTCACCCCAAATCCCGTCGGTCACCTTAAGGTGACCGACAGGATTTCGGGTGACCCGACCCCGCGCGGGTCACCCTCTGTATTGTGGACAATTCAGAACTCCGACGCGCGCGCGCGTGGGATTTCTGTATTGTCCACAATAGGAAAGTCGACATGTGATTCCAAAAACTGAATTTGAAATTTCTGTTGCCCTTTAAGGAGGCCCACGGATGTTGCGGAGTTCTGTATTGTCCACAATAGAAGAGTCGACATGTGATTCCAAAAACTGATTTTGACATTTCTGCGGCCCTTTAAGGAGGCCGACGGATGTCGGGGAGTTCTGTATTGTCCACAATAGAAAAGTCGACATGTGATTCCAAAAATTGAATTTGAAATTTATGTGGCCCTTTAAGGAGGCCGACGGATGTTGGGGA